CCATTCAACACCCCAAAGTGAGTGATGGCTGTCTGTGGTACAAAGTCCTTGAGTTCAGGTTCCAGGGCCCCCAACAGGGCCTGAGCAAATGAGCACTCCCAGAAAACGTGGTGAGACGTTTCCTCGTGGATGATGCAGAAGGGGCAGTGTCTGTATCTGCTCAGGTTCCTGGCATGCATAAATGTCCTGAGAGGCAACCCCCCTTGGATTGCCATCCATGCCAGGTCTTTGTGCCTGTTGGTGAGAATGTTGGAAGAAACATTCCTCCAGACCACCTTGCAGGTGTCTGAAGGCAGGCCTGGAACCGACTCCAAAATGTCGCTGGCTCGGATGAGCTTGTAGATAGTCTTTGGCTTCCACAAGTCAGGCTTGACTCCCTGCAGCCCTTGCTCCCTGATGAACTTGAAGGTATCCAAGTAGTACCAAGGAGTGTCCCAGTTGTAGGGGATGGAACTATCCCAAGTGTCCCACCCCAGGGACCTCCAGAGAGGCAACAGGAAGAAGCGAGACATTGCGTTCCCGCCAGAGTCCATAATCCGTTTGGGCAAAGTTCTGCGGATGCAGTTGCAAGCAAAGAACACCCTCAGCTGGGTGGCGATGTCGGGCACGCCCTTACCGCCCTTGAGGGGTTCCTTGAACATGACTGCCCGCTTCACTCTGTCCATCTTGGAGCCCCAGATGAAGTGAAACACCGCCCTGGTGATGGCCTTACAGGTGTTGACCCGTGGGGGCCAGGCCTGGGCGAGGTACTGCAACACAGGGAGAATCTCGCTGCGGAGTACCAGTGTCTTCCCTTCGATAGAGAGGTCTCTGAGGCTCCAAAGTCCAAACTTTTGACGCATCTTGGCCAGTCTCTCCTCCCAAGACTTCAGGGCTGCGCCCTCGGCACCAAACCAAACTCCCAAAATTTTCATGAAGTCTGTCTTGATGCCAAAGGGCATGGATGCAGAAGAAGGCAGGAACCACTTTCCGAAGAGCATGACTTCCGACTTCCCGCAGTTGACCTTTGCCCCCGAAGCTTGGCCGAAGTCCTCGCAGGTCTGGACGAGCAGGTCGATGGAGCGCTGGTTGGCACAGAACACCGTCACGTCGTCCATGTAGAGCGAGCACTTCACTTCCCGTCTGTCTGGTCCCGGTGCGGTGATTCCCCCGATCTCTGGATTCCGTCTGATGCATTCGGCGAAGAGCTCTATACAGCAAACAAAAAGCAGAGGTGAGAGAGGACAGCCTTGTCTGACCCCGGAGAGGACCGGGAAGGGGTCAGTCTTCCAGCCGTTCACCTGCACGGAACTACAAATTTCATTATACATGATATCCACATACGAACAGAACATTTCCCCAAGACCAAACCTGCGCAGGGCTCTGCACATAAACCCATGGGAGACACGGTCAAAGGCCTTCTCCTGGTCAAGACTGACCAGGGCCGCGTGCACACGGCGGTCCTTGATGTATTGGACCGTGTCCTGGACAAGCGCTAGGCTGTCCGCAATCCTGCGGCCAGGAATGCCACAAGTCTGATCCGGGTGGATTATCTGTCCGATGACAGCCTTCAACCTGTTCGCCATGACTTTGGCGAGGATCTTGTAGTCCACGTTCAGGAGAGAGATGGGACGCCAATTTTTCAAGTCACATCTCTCCCCCTTACGCTTGTACAGGATCGTGATCATCCCCTCCCTCAACGAAGGAGGCATCTTGCCCTCCACCACCATCTCCTCGTACAGCTCGAGCAGGTCCGGGCCCACGAGATCCCACAGCACTTTGGACACAACTTTTGCTAGAGAACAGCACTTCCCCAGATGTGCAGCATTTCCGAGTCAGTACCACATAGGCAATCTATGCCGCAAGGTCGGTCCCAGTATGTGAGGGACTGGTTGCTAGTGAAGGAACCAAACCTAACACCCCTTCAGTACCAGATAATCCGTCACCTCTGCCATTTAACCCATATCTTGGCTGGTTGGATGTTTTAGCAATTGACACAAATACAGTAGTCCTTACCAATGGCAATATAGCCTCCTCTGGACAGCATTCTGCTCGCTAGACTCTCTACTGTACAACTATGAAATAAAATATGTAGTCAAGGGCTTTGTTTGGACATATTGAAGAGAAACTGAGTACCATAAAAACAACTTTATTATGTACCATTAAAAATCTATTACAAAACATTAAAAATTACTCTCCAGATACTTGAACATGCAACCACACTCATAAGTACTCAACCAATTTGAGTTCTAGTGTTTATGATTTTGGATCCCCTCCTGCTAATTATACATTTAGAGAATTATGTGCTATTAGAGATCTGGAAGATCTAATTGGGGAGGGAGGAGGTGAAAACCATTCTGATTTTGGTATGGGGTCGTTTGAGCCTATCATTCTCAGGAGTTGGTCAGAAGCCCTGGGATAGACAGGTTTCAAAAACTGGTAGAGCAAGACCTTACTGCCTTGGCATTGCGGATTTCCACTGGTTTCAGTCCATGGTGGAATAATTTGACACACAAGGAAAGAAAATCTTTAAAAAATCGGGAAAGTGATGATTATATTGTAATTCGAAAATGCAGATAAAGGTGGGTTAGTGGCAGTTATGAACATAGATATGTATCAGAGGGAAGTGGAGAGACAACTTCTAGATTCTCATACTTATACCAAGCTAAAGGGTGTCTCCACCAAGAAATATAAAGCAATTTTGAATAATCCTATTAATAAGGGGGTCCGCATTGGCATATTCACTGAAAAAGAAGCTGGAACTCTGGTCCCTGAATATCCGGTACTATCTACGTTCTACAAACTCCCCAAGACACACAAAGGATTAGATCTCTTGCAGGGGAGATCATGTATTTTGGGAATTGTTTGATTGAATGAGAGGTTGGGTCATGGGCTTGATACACAACTTCGACCTCTCATCTTACAACTTAGCAGTTACCTTAAAGACACCAACCATCTTCTTCTCAACATTGCAAATAGTCTCTGTTGGGATGACCACCTTATGTGGATCACCTGCGATGTTGCTAGTTTTATCCCTCTATCCTCATCATCTTGCTAGTGGTGCCATATCCTTTTATTTGGAGCATCATACTGGACTGCTCCTCGAACATCGCATATATATCTTGGATGTTCTTAAGTATCTTTTAACCCATAGATCCTGTCTTCAATAGGGAGTTCTACCTCCAGAGGTGTAGGGCTGCGATGAGGGTGAAATTTTCACCCTCACTAGCCACTCTCTACACGGGGTTAGTGGAAGTGGTCCTGCATCTACTGTGGGGAAAACCCCTTTAGGTCTCACATTAGGCTAATCTTTTGTTACATCGATGACCTCATATTTGTTGTGGACCAGAAGCTGGGTTTAGATATTGGGTTTAGATATTCAATCTTGATATATCTAAATGACAACGAAAAGAACTTCACTGGCCAGTCAGACAAAAAGGAAATTTGTTTCCTGGATGTCTGTTTGACCAATGAACAGAGGCGTGTCATGACCAGTTTATACAGAAAATAACTTTCTGAGAATGTACAATAAATTGATTGCTTATTGCTGCGCCCTAAATGTGAGATATGAATACTTCCAGAAATAATGAACCTTCCAAGTCAACTTATTACAACTTCAAAATAAATCAATATTAGAATGTAAAAAAACCAAAAAAAATGAAAAAAAAATCATAAGTAATTTAAATAAAAAATGAATAGTGTCCAAAAAAAGTCTATATAAATTTGATTAAAGTTGATTAGTCAAACAAGATTGCAGATGGGATCTTGCTGGAATATAGATACTTATATGCGCTCACCTTCCATTAAACCCACTGCTGGGCTAACACAGCTTTATGATGTTTATCCTTGATGGATATCTTTAGAAACTCCCTTGGATACTCCTGATGGTTGATAATGGATGATTGTGGGTCTGTGGGTTAGCTTTTTCTCATGGCAATAAAAAGTGCTCCATCTCCTTGTATTATTCCTCGTTGGTATAGTGGGAAAGAAAAAGGTACATGGTGCCTTATCGTTTTTTAAAAGAACAATTTTATGCACAACTTCTTCGTATGCACTCACAAGTATTCAGTATAAAAAGCGCTGAGTTAAAATCAGTGAAACCGCTAAATGCGTTTGTGACAGGTCTCCTGCGTGGTTGCTCACACTCGCTCACATAGACTTATACTCGCCGTGAAGTCGGGTTGCTGTGGTAATGTTAAAGCCCCTCCCCAATGCGTTGCACCACAGGGACACGTGGCTTTGTCCGGGGGATGTAATAGAACAATCACCATACTAAGGATTCTTTTATAGTGATACGGCGCCATTTTCTAGAGGTCTGGATGGTCGCGGCCATCTTTCCAATCTACATATTAAGCTATGATTAAGCACAGGTGTATTCAAGCTGATAGAAACTTTGTTACCAGTGCTGTTTTCTATTTAGATACCGTATTTGCCGGCGTATAAGACGACTTTTTACCCCTTGAAAATCTTCTCAAAAGTCAGGGGTCGTCTTATACGCCGGTATACGGCATACTGACACTTTTTAGGGGGGCGGCGCGGGGGCGGCACGGTGCCGCCGCCCCCCCCCCCCCTCCAACAGAAGGGACACACTAAGTACAGGGGTGGGCAGGGGCTGTTTCTTACCTGGCTCCGGTCCCACGACGATCCGGTCCAGGAAGCGCGGCTGCTCCTTCAGTTTGGCCACTGGATGTTCGCGTGGCTGCTCGGCTCCGCCTCCTCATCGGTGATTGGCCGCCAGAACTGCAGCTCAGGAAAGGCACACAGGCGGCCAATCACCGGCGAGGGGGCGGAGCCGAGCGGCCCCGCGAAAATCGAGTGCAGGACCAGCAGGTAAGTGTTTCAGTGTAGAGGTGCTGCTGCAACCACATATCTGGCTGCAGCAGCACCATACGAGAACAGGGTCAGCAAGTGTCAGTGGGAGGAATAGTGCCCCATCATTGGTGTCACTGATACCAATGATGGAGCACTATTCCTCCCACTGATACCAATGACGGGGCACTATTCCTCCACTGACACCAATGATGGGGCACTATTCCCCCCCCACTGACACCAACGATGGGGCACTATTCCCCCCCCCACTGACACCAATGATGGGGCACTGTTCCACCCCCCACTGACACCAATGATGGGGCACTATTCCACCCCCACTGACACCAATGATGGGGCACTATTCCACCCCCCACTGACACCAATGATGGGGCACTATTCCACCCCCCACTGACACCAATGATGGGGCACTATTCCACCCCCCACTGACACCAATGTTGGGACACTATTCCTCCCACTGACACCAATGATGGGGTACTATTCCCCCCACTAATACTAATGATGGGGCACTATTCCTGCCACTGATACCAATGATGGGGCACTATTCCTCCCACTGATACCAATGATGGGGCACTATTCCTGCCACTGATACCAATGATGGGGCACTATTCCCCCCACTGATACTAATGATGGGGCACTATTCCTGCCACTAATGCCAATGATGGGGCACTATTCCTGCCACTGATACCAATGATGGGGCACTATTCCTGCCACTGATACCAATGATGGGGCACTATTCCTCCCACTGTTACCAATGATGGGGCACTATTCCTGCCACTAATGCCAATGATGGGGCACTATTCCGCCCACTGATACCAATGATGGGGCACTATTCCTCCCACTAATTACCAATGATGGGGCACTATTCCTCCCACTGACACCAATGATGGGGCACTATTCCTCCCACTGATACCAATGATGGGGCACTATTCCTGCCACTGATACCAATGATGGGGTACTATTCCTGCCACTGATACCAATGATGGGGCACTATTCCTCCCACTGGTGTGCATTGGAAGGGGGGTAGTCTTATACGGCGAGTATAGCCCAAACACTACATTTTAGCAGGAAAAGTAGGGGGTCGTCTTATACGCCCAGTCGTCTTATACGCCGGCAAATACGGTAACTTTTGACAGTCACTGCCCCACTGTTTATAAACCCTCTTTCTATGGGCTGTATAGATCAAATGAGTAGTTAGCCACGCAGAAGACAATCACACATTTCTAAAACATATATGCACAAAAATAATATATATATAAGGAACAAATAAAAAAATATGCAATTAGGTATATATAAAAGATAATCAACATTAAAGAATGCAAAATATTTGTGATACTTATATATTACTATCAATAAAATACCCAACTATTAAATTAACTAGCATATAATGAGATGGATCATTATTACCACAACATGTGGTCACTATGGTAGGTGGATTAAAGTAACCACTACTAAGTATTTAATTTGGCTGGTCAAAATACATTGAGTTTTATTAATAGATATATCAATATATATATATATATGTATATATACCCACCATATACTTTGGGATATAATATAAGGGACTAATATATTTTTATGGTTATTTTATGAAGCATATTAAATCAAACAAAAATTAACTTATTTCATTCTAATAATCACTTAAAAAGCATGATAAATTGAACTCTTTGTTTAGGCCTTTAGGGGCAAACAATCCAGTTTGTATATCCAATAAGATTATTTTTTTGCTGATTTCTCTTACTAAGTTATCTCCCCTCAAATGTTTGCTGTGTTTCTCTATGCCCCAAAATTCTAATTTGTCTGCTTGTTTATTGTGAAAATGCCAAAAATGCAGGGGCACATTATGATACTTATATCCTTTATTGATATTAAAAATGTGTTCTTTAATGCGTTCCAATATATATCAAGTTACAAGGACATTTTAAAGCGTATACAACTCCTTTTGTATCGCAGGATATGAATTGATCGATTTTATATATTTTACCATTAATGGGATTTTGGAATTCTGACCTGCGTTTAGGGTTATGTTTTGTTCTTTTGCAGCTGTAGCATCTAAAACAAGAGTAGAAGCCTACACCCTGAAAAAATGTGGGTTTAGCATTTTCATTGGGTGGATCTAATAAATTTTTAACAATTTTATCATGGATATTAGGAGCTTTTTTGTATATGAACTTTGGTCTGTCTTGAATAATGTTTTTGAGATCTTTGTCTAATTTCAATATATCCCAATGTTTGTTAATAATTTTTTGTATATCCTTAAATTGCTTCTTGAACGGCATTATCATAGATATATTGGTATTTTCTGTATCTTTCTTTTTATTATTTTCTAATAAGATCTTTCTATCTAGTAATTCTATCTGTTTAATTTCATGTTCGATTTCTTCTTTCCTATACCCTTTATCAATGAATCTTTTCATTAGGATTTTACTTTGTTCTTTATAATCTACCGTATTAGTGCAATTTCTCCCTAAACGCATAAACTGCCCTCTTGGTATGTTTTTTTATCCAAGGCTTGTAATGGCAGCTATTGGTGGCGATATATGCGTTTCTATAGTTTTTTTTTAAATAATTTGAAGCATCCCAATTGGCCAGTTTTTATGAATCCGTTAGATTTGCAGTAGCCAAAAGGATTTTGAGAATGAGGCTTTTTCTCTGTGGGGCTTATTTTCTAAAGCTGGAGAGTGCGAAAGCAGGCTCACTTCTGCATAGAAACTAATCAGCTTTCAGGTTGCATTGCCAAAACTTAATTGAATGAGCTGTGGTTAGAAGCTGAGGTTTCTATGCAGAAGTGAGCCTGATTTTGCACTCTCCAGCTTTAGTAAATAAACCCCTGTATCAGCGGTTTTCACACAGGGGATACCAAAAATGGTTGATTGATAGGGCTCACTCGATTAGGGCGTAGGGTAGATGTGTTGAGGGACAACCCATATGGGAAAAATAAGAACGGTTTAAATAAAAAGAAATGTACCCTCTCTACTCCATACAGCCTGGAATTTGGTTCAATCAAAAGTATTTTTAACTGCTATCTACCCATCCTGTGTGAAGACCAAGTGTGTGCTGAACTCCTTAAAGGATGGCATTAATACTGTTCCCAAAAGGGCTCCAACTCTGGGTAATTCTTTATCCCCCGTTTTTTTAAGTCCTGCAAGTACTCAGTCCACTGTATGGTTACACTGCAAAGGTAACTACTGATTTGGTACTCCCTCTTGTGCATGTTGTGCACACATATTAAGCGGTAACAATTTTTGTTCCACTGCTAATAATAGGGATTTTAAGATCACTTCATTTTTTAATTATAACACCACTTATATCATTTATCTTGTTACTTGTTCTGCCACGTTCAATATGTGGGGTGCACAATTAGGCGTTTGAAGGATTGGTTCTGTGACAGACCCAACCTGGACGGATTGCACAGGTTGGGGCTAGTTACAGTCAGGTCCATAAATATTGGGACATCGACACAATTCTAACATTTTTGGCTCTATACACCACCACAATGGATTTGAAATGAAACGAACAAGATGTGCTTTAACTGCAGACTGTCAGCTTTAATTTGAGGGTATTTACATCCACATCAGGTGAACAGTGTAGGAATTACAACAGTTTGCATATGTGCCTCCCACTTGTTAACGGACCAAAAGTAATGGGACAAAATAATAATCATAAATCAAACTTTCACTTTTTAATACTTGGTTGCAAATCCTTTGCAGTCAATTACAGCCTGAAGTCTGGAACGTCTAGACATCACCAGACGATGGGTTTCATCCCTGGTGATGCTCTGCCAGGCCTCTACTGCAACTGTCTTCAGTTCCTGCTTGTTCTTGGGGCATTTTCCCTTCAGTTTTGTCTTCAGCAAGTGAAATGCATGCTCAATCGGATTCAGGTCAGGTGATTGACTTGGCCGTTGCATAACATTCCACTTCTTTCCCTTAAAAAACTCTTTGGTTGCTTTTGCAGTATGCTTTGGGTCATTGTCCATCTGCACTGTGAAGCGGCGTCCAATGAGTAGTGAAGCATTTTGCTGAATATGAGCAGATAATATTGCCCGAAACACTTCAGAATTCATCCGGCTGCTTTTGTCAGCAGTCACATCATCAATAAATACAAGAGAAGCAGTTCCATTGGCAGCCATACATGCCCACGCCATGACACTACCCCCACCATGCTTCACTGATGAGGTGGTATGCTTAGGATCATGAGTAGAGATGAGCGAAGTATTCAAAAATTCAATTCAACTGATTCGGCGAATTCATGGAAAAATTTTGATTCGAGTCGAATATATTCGCTGCGAATTTAACTTATAAAAGGGTGTTTTCTAGGCTTCAGAGAACCTTTATATTAGTGCAGAACACTGTACCTTTAATTTAAATGCCCTTGGAGTCTGCTGGGGAAGAGAAATAATACTGACAGTCAGTATGACATGCAGATGAGTGCCGACGATCTTAGAATCACCACACACTTCACTCATTTGGGCAGTCACGGGGCCAAAACCAGAGTGTGGAGCCACAGTGTGGCGGTGGAGGCAGCAGCAATGGGAGGCCATACAGCACCCTATGACAAAAATGGAAACCACCAGCAGTGTGAGGAGACCTGAAAGTGGCACATGGCAGAGTGTGGCGATGGAGACAGCAGCAATGGGAGGCCGTACAGGGACCCATGACACACTCTGGACCTGGCAGCAGCATGAGGAGGCGGTACAGGGGCCCATGACAGATTACGGGCCTGGCAGCAGCATGAGGAGTCGGTACGGGGGCCCATGGCAGATTAGGGGCCTGGCAGCAGCTATGGGAGGCCCGTAATCTGCCAGCACCCTATGACAAAAAATGGAACACACCAGCAGTGTGAGGAGACCTGAAAGTGGCACATGGCAGAGTGTGGCGATGGAGACAGCAGCAATGGGAGGCCGTACAGGGACCCATGAGAGACTCTGGACCTGGCAGCAGCATGAGGAGGCGGTATAGGGGCCCATGGCAGATTAGGGGCCTGGCAGCAGCTATGGGAGGCCCGTAATCTGCCAGCACCCTATGACAAAAAATGGAACACACCAGCAGTGTGAGGAGACCTGAAAGTGGCACATGGCAGAGTGTGGCGATGGAGACAGCAGCAATGGGAGGCCGTACAGGGACCCATGAGAGACTCTGGACTTGGCATCAGCATGAGGAGGCGGTATAGGGGCCCATGGCAGATTAGGGGCCTGGCAGCAGCTATGGGAGGCCCGTAATCTGCCAGCACCCTATGACAAAAAATGGAACACACCAGCAGTGTGAGGAGACCTGAAAGTGGCACATGTTTGGGGCATGATTCATGGCGGATTTAGTCAGTTGTGTCAGGAACTGGTGGTTTGAAATCCAGACTAATCCACGCCTGATTCATTTTCACAAACGTGAGTCTCTCCACACTTTGGGTGGACAGTCGTGTCCTCCGCGGAGTTGCAATACCTCCTGCCGCACTAAACACGCGCTCCGATGCCACGCTACTGGCCGGGCATGACAGCCTTTCAAGGGCAAATTCAGCTAGTTGGGGCCAAAGGTCAAGTTTCGTTGCCCAGTAGTCAAGGGGATTGTCTACCTCGGTTGGCAGGGTGCTGTCCAAGTAGGCCTAAGCCTGTTGTTTGAGGTCCTGGTCACTCCAGGTCCACCTGATGCTGCTGCTGCTGCGGGCTGGTTAGTAGTTTCCTCACTGCGCTGGTGAAGAAAGCTACTCATCATCGACTGCAGACTGAGGCAGCCTGCTGCTGGTGGAGCTGCCACTGCTCCTACCACCCCACCCCTCCCCTGCTGCCATGGCAGCGGAACGCGAGCGCACAGGGCCCACAGTGTCTGAGGATGGACGTTGGCGCAGACAGGCAGAGACCAGCTGACTACATAGGTGGTTTTTATAGTACGTTATTTTGGCCTCCCTCTCAGCAGGTGTGAAAAAGGCCACCATTTTTGAACGGTAGCGAGGGTCCAACAAGGTGGACAGCCAAAAGTCATCCCTCTGTCTGATGGTTATTATTCGGCTGTCGGTACGCAAGCAACCGAGCATGCTATGGGCCATTTGTGCCAAGGAATGCGAGGGACTCCCTGCCTCCATCTCCACAGCATACTGCCACGGTGCGTCTGGGTCCTCTGTCTCCTCTTCCTCCTCCTCTACCAGATGCTCCTGCTCCTCCACTCCTGTCCGCTGAGTGGAAAAACCACCCATTTCACTCAATAATTCCTGAGCACCAATGTCCTCCTCTACCTCCTCCTCTTCTTCCTGTCCTGCCCCACAGGGGTCATGTGGCGTTGAGATCTGTGCGCCACGTCTACCGCACCCTGACCAGCCATTGTTAACAGCATTTGTTCCAGGACGTGCAACAGAGGAATGACGTCGTTCATCCCATAGTCCTGCCGACTCACGAATAGCGTGGCCTCCTCAAAGGGCCTGAGCAAGCGCAGGTGTCACGCATGAGCTGCCAATGGCTGACATCTAAGTTACACAGGGAGTACCTTTATCCGCTTTTAACATCAGGAAATCTGTGATGGCCTTTTGCTGTTCGTAAAGGCGGTCTAACATATGTAGGGTTGAATTCCACCTTGTTGCAACGTCACAGCATGAGGAGTCGGTACGGGGGCCCATGGCAGATTACGGGCCTGGCAGCAGCAAATGGGAGGCCCGTAATCTGCCAGCACCCTATGACAAAAATGGAACACACCAGCAGTGTGAGGAGACCTGAAAGTGGCACATGGCAGAGTGTGGCGATGGAGAGACAGCAGCAATGGGAGGCCGTACAGGGACCCATGAGAGACTCTGGACCTGGCAGCAGCATGAGGAGGCGGCGGTACAGGGGCCCATGGCAGATTAGGGGCCTGGCAGCAGCTATGGGAGGCCCGTAATCTGCCAGCACCCTATGTCAAAAAATTGAACACACACCAGCAGTGTGTGAGGAGACCTGAAAGTGGCACATGGCAGAGTGTGGCGATGGAGACAGCAGCAATGGGAGGCCGTACAGGGACCATGAGAGACTCTGGACCTGGCAGCAGCATGAGGAGGCGGTATAGGGGCCCATGGCAGATTAGGGGCCTGGCAGCAGCTATAGGAGGCCCGTAATCTGCCAGCACCCTATGTCAAAAAATGGAACACACCAGCAGTGTGAGGAGACCTGAAAGTGGCACATGGCAGAGTGTGGCGATGGAGACAGCAGCAATGGGAGGCCGTACAGGGACCCATGAGAGACTCTGGACTGGCAGCAGCAGCATGAGGAGGCGCGGTACAGGGGCCCATGGCAGATTAGGGGCCTGGCAGCAGCAGCTATGGGAGGCCCGTAATCTGCCAGCACCCTATGACAAAAAATGGAACACACCAGCAGTGTGAGGAGACCTGAAAGTGGCACATGGCAGAGTGTGGCGATGGAGGACAGCAGCAATGGGAGGGCGTACAGGGACCCATGAGAGACTCTGGACCTTGGCAGCAGCATGAGGGGGCGGTATAGGGGCCCATGGCAGATTAGGGCCTGGCAGCAGCTATGGAGGCCCGTAATCTGCCAGCACCCTATGACAAAAAATGGAACACACCAGCAGTGTGTGAGGAGACCACATGGCAGAGTGTGGCGATGGAGACAGCAGCAATGGGAGGCCGTACAGGGACCCATGAGAGACTCTGGACCTGGCAGCAGCATGAGGAGGCGGTACAGGGGCCCATGGCAGATTAGGGGCCTGGCAGCAGCTATGGGAGGCCCGTAATCTGCCAGCACCCTATGACAAAAAATGGAACACACCAGCAGTGTGAGGAGACCTGAAAGTGGCACATGGCAGGGGCATGATTCATGGCGGATTTAGTCAGTTGTGTCAGGAACTGGTGGTTTGAAATCCAGACTAATCCACGCCTGATTCATTTTCACAAACGTGAGTCTCTCCACACTTTGGGTGGACAGTCGTGTCCTCGCGGGAGTTACAATACCTCCTGCCGCACTAAACACGCGCTCCGATGCCACGCTACTGGCCGGGCATGACAGCCTTTCAAGGGCAAATTCAGCTAGTTGGGGCCAAAGGTCAAGTTTCGTTGCCCAGTAGTCAAGGGGATTGTCTACCTCGGTTGGCAGGGTGCTGTCCAAGTAGGCCCAAGCCTGTTGTTTGAGGTCCTGCTCCAGGTCCACCTGATGCTGCTGCTGCTGCGGCTGGTTAGTAGTTTCCTCACTGCGCTGGTGAAGAAAGCTACTCATCATCGACTGCAGACTGAGGCAGCCGCTGCTGGTGGAGCTGCACTGCTCCTACCACCCCACCCCTCCCCTGCTGCCATGGCAGCGGAACGCGAGCGCACAGGGCCCACAGTGTCTGAGGATGGACGTTGGCGCACAAAGGCAGAGACCAACTGACTACATAGGTGGTTTTTATAGTACGTTATTTTGGCCTCCCTCTCAGCAGGTGTGAAAAAGGCCACCATTTTTGAACGGGTAGCGAGGGTCCAACAAGGTGGACAGCCAAAAGTCATCCCTCTGTCTGATGGTTATTATTCGGCTGTCGCTACGCAAGCAACCGAGCATGCTATGGGCCATTTGTGCCAAGGAATGCGAGGGACTCCCTGCCTCCATCTCCACAGCATACTGCCACGGTGCGTCTGGGTCCTCTGTCTCCTCCTCCTCCTCCTCTACCAGATGCTCCTGCTCCTCCACTCCTGTCCGCTGAGTGGAAAAACCACCCATTTCACTCAATAATTCCTGAGCACAAATGTCCTCCTCTACTCCTCCTCCTCCTCTTCTTCCTGTCCTGCCCCCACAGGGGTCATGTGGCGTTGAGATCTGTGCGCCACGTCTACCGCACCCTGACCAGCCATTGTTAACAGCATTTGTTCCAGGACGTGCAACAGAGGAATGACGTCGTTCATCCCATAGTCCTGCCGACTCACGAATAGCGTGGCCTCCTCAAAGGGCCTGAGCAAGCGGCAGGTGTCACGCATGAGCTGCCAATGGCTGACATCGAAGTTACACAGGGGAGTACCTTTATCCGCTTGTAACATCAGGAAATCGGTGATGGCCTTTCGCTGTTCGTAAAGGCGGTCTAACATGTGTAGGGTTGAATTCCACCTTGTTGCAACGTCGCAGATCAGGCGATGCTGTGGAATTCCGTTCTGCCGCTGCAGCTCAAGGAGGGTGTGCTTTGCGGTGTAGGAATGGCTGAAATGCATGCAAAGTTTACGTGACATTTTAAGGATGTCTTGCAGTGGGATGGTGGATTTTAGGAACCGCTTGACAACCAGATTGAACACGTGAGCCATGCATGGCGCATGGCACAACCTTCCTTGACGCAGAGCAGACACCATGTTCTTTCCGTTGTCGGTCAACATGGTTCCGATTTTCAGTTTGCGCGGAGACAGCCATCTGTCGATTTCTCTGTTCATTACACTCAGAGAAGTTCCTCCCCTGTGTGACTACGTTCGCCAAGGCATACCAGGTGCAGCACAGCGTGACACCGTTGCGCCCTGCACATGTGATATGCCGGTCGGGTAATGGGACTTGGCACGGGGGGGTGGCGGCTGAGGACACGGCGGAAGAAGAGAGGTGGTAGAGGGGACATCTTTTGTGGGACCAAGGACGTGCAAACGTGGAGGCAAAAGCGGCGTGACCTGTCCAAGTTGCTGGTGCGGCTGTGACGGCACCACGTTCACCCAGTGGGCCGTAAATGACATGTACTGTCCCCTGACCGTAGTTACAGCTCCACACGTCGGCGCTGCCGTGCACTTTGGCAGAGACCGACATGCTCAAAGACTGGCCCACCATCTCTTCTACATGTGAATGCAGGGCTGGCACTGCCTTTTTGGCGAAGAAATGACGGCTTGGCACTCTCCACCGCGGCGCGGCACAAGCCATCATTTCTCGGAAAGGTGCTGAGTCCACCACTTGGAAAGGGGAGGGACTGCAGCACCAGCAACTTGGACAGGAGGACGTTCAGCTTTTGCACCGTCGGGTGCGTGCGTGCTCGCAAACTGTTGTCTCTTGGAAACGGATTCCAAGAAAGACTGCTGACGGAATCCGTGAAGAGGAGTAGCAGGAGAAGGAGCATCTGAACGAGCGGAAAGATGCCAACGAGCGAAACAACTCCCCTCAGCAGGGTGTTGGAGCCTTGACTGGCTGATAGAGGGCGATTGACGTCGGGTGACGGAGCAAGTAACGGAGCGGGTGATGGAGCGGGGGCTGGGGCGGGCAGAACCGCCGTATCTTTATCACGGTTTTCCCAGGCCACCAAATGGCGACGCTGCATATGCTGACCGCAACGCTGTAGTCCCAACATGGGCCCCCTGGCCACGCTTGACTTTCTGGCCACATAGTCGACATACGGCTACGTTTACTTCCTCGGGCGGCTTGACAAAAAAATTGCCACACCGCCGAGTAGGAAACTTTTGCCCCCCGATACTCCTCACTGGCTGACTGCTGCTTCCTCCGCACACCGGCACCACTACTGGCCGTGGTGGTAGGCTGCAGTGGAGCTGGTGCTGTACTCCGTGGCCGTTTGCCTCCACTGACACTGCTGCGACCCTGCTGCCTCCTGGGCAACCCACCGACTGTTTTGCTCGCTGCCAAGCTGCCACCCTCTTCTCCTGATGATGCGGAAGCAATAGCCTGATGACGACGAGGCTGCCAAGTGCGATCAGCCTCATCATCATCAATTAGGGTCTCCGCCTCACTACTAGCCCCCTCGGCTGCGTGTGTGGTCAGGTCAGGAGACAGACCTGTCTCTAGACCGGCTACCGAGCCACTCTCCTCGCCACTACTTCTTCGCCTGGCTGCCTGGACTGAAAGAGGCGGATGTCTCCCCCCGTTCCTGACCGCCCTCTGTTAGCTCTTCCTCACTGTACAGTGGGGCTGAGCCCACAGCATGCGATACTTCGCTTGGTGAGGGAACACCAAAGGACAGGGGCAGGTAGAGGACACGTGATTTCAGTGGGCTTGCTCCCGGGCCATGCCAACTAACGGTTGTGTCTGACGTACCCACCGACCGTTGGCTGTAGGTGTCAGAGGTGACCTGGGAAGAGGAAGACGACCGAGCCAACCAATCGATGACGGCAGGGTTGTCGGTGGAGACACGACCGCTGGATGACACCGGGAGCACTGGCCTCTGGCTGCGAATAGTGCTGCCTCGACCCCTTCCTCTGCTGCCACACGTCTGCTCGCTCCTAAAACATTGCCTCCTCTGCCACTCCTCTGCATGTTGTCTGACATACTCTTTAATTAAACGATTCTGTGTCCCTGAGTAACAATTCTGTGTCTGTCCTGAGTAACAATTCTGTGTCCCTGAGTAACGTTCTGTGGCCCTAGTAACAGTTCTGTGGCCCTCAGTAACAATTCTGTGTCCCTCAGTAACAATTCTGTGTCCCTCAGTAACAATTCTGTGTCTGTCCCTGAGTAACAATTCTGTGTCTGTCCCTGAGTAACAATTCTGTGTGTCCTGAGTAACTGTGTTCTGTGTCCCTAAGTAACAATTCTGTGTCCCCTCAGTAACAATTCTGTGTCCCTCAGTAACAATTCTGTGTCCCTGAGTAACAATTCTGTGTCTGTCCCTGAGTAACAATTCTGTGTCCCTCAATTCTGTGTCCCTGAGTAACAATTCTGTGTGGTCCCTGAGTAACAATTCTGTGTCCCTCAGTAACAATTCTGTGTCCCTCAGTAACAATTCTGTGTCCCTGAGTAACAATTCTGTGTTCCTGTGTCCCTCAGTAACAATTCTGTGTCCCTGAGTAACAATTCTGTGGCCCTAAGTAACAATTCTGTGTCCCCTCAGTAACAATTCTGTGTCCCTCAGTAACAATTCTGTGTCCCTGAGTAACAATTCTGTGTGTCCTCTAACAATTCTGTGTCCCTAAGTAACAATTCTGTGGCCCTCAGTAACAATTCTGTGGCCCTAAGTAACAATTCTGTGTCTGCCCTAATGTAACAATTTCTGTGGCCCTGAAACAATTCTGTGTCCCTCAGTAACAATTCTGTGTCCCTCAGTAACAATTCTGTGTGTGTCCCTGAGTAACAATTCTGTGTGTCCCTGAGTAACAATTCTGTGTCCCTAAGTAACAATTCTGTGGCCCTAAGTAACGTTTCTGTGGCCCTAAGTAACGTTTCTGTGGCCCTAGTAACGTTTCTGTGGCCCTAAGTAACAATTCTGTGGCCCTAAGTAACAATTCTGTGTCCCTGAGTAACAATTCTGTGTCCCTCAGTAACAATTCTGTGTCCCTCAGTAACAATTCTGTGTCTGTCCTGAGTAACAATTCTGTGTCCCTCAGTAACAATTCTGTGTCCCTGAGTAAATTTCTGTGTCTGCCCTAAGTAACAATTCTGTGGCCCTCAGTAACAATTCTGTGTCCCTCAGTAACAATTCTGTGTCTGTCCCTTCTGAGTAAACAATTCTGTGTCTGTCCCTGAGTAACAATTCTGTGTCCCTAAGTAACAATTCTGTGTCCCTCAGTAACAAGTAACAATTCTGTGTCCCTCAGTAACAATTCTGTGTCCCTGAGTAAACAATTCTGTGTCCCTCAGTAACAATTCTGTGTCCCTCAGTAACAATTCTGTGTCCCTCAAGTAACAATTCTGTGTCCCTCAGTAACAATTCTGTGTCCCTCAGTAACAATTCTGTGTCCCTAAGTAACAATTCTGTGGCCCTAAGTAACGTTCTGTGTCCCTCAAGTAACAATTCTGTGTCCCTGAGTAACAATTCTGTGGCCCTCAGTAACAATTCTGTGGCCCTCAGTAACAATTCTGTGTCCCTCAGTAACAATTCTGTGTCTGTCCCTGAGTAACAATTCTGTGTCCCTAAGTAACGTTTCTG